GGGATTGGCGGTGCTGGGATAGCGGTTGGACTGGATGATCTTAAGGGTCTTTTCCAACTGAAACAATTCTGTGATTCTAGGATTCTAAGTTGTATCTAGATACTTTTAAATAAACTCCACACTCTTGAACAGTTTGTCATACCATTTTCTTGTTAATGCATATTCAGGCTGAATCAATCAGTCTAAAATTCTCAGGTGACACAACCAGACTTACATGAGTAACCATGATATTCTCGGTATCGTTTCCCGGAGTCTCTGAGTTCTCTGTGGCCACATTTCCATTCAGCACCTCTTCTTTGCTTTCTAGGTCATTAGTAGTAGTTTTTCCCTCTTGCACAGAGTGTGAGAGAATAGCTGCTATGGACAATTCCACTTGGAAATGCAAAAAGTTATTCCATGTGTATTTAAAAAATAAGTCCTGGAACAAAATGAGAAACAAAAAAAATTCACTCTAGATACATCGTTCCATTCTTAACTATTGAATAATATTAAAACAGTGCCCAACTAGTTGTTTCATCAGCAATTCCACTAAAACAAACTCACTTATATGCCACAGTATCCACTTATAGCTGAATGTGCTCTGTTATTTCTCTGTGATGTATACTTTCCTATAAACTGAGCACATTGGAAATACTCTCATACGCAGCTGGGGCTCACAGCACAGACATACTAAAAAAATGTTATCTATTCTGTGGGTGAATTAATCTTAAGAAAAACATTAACTAAATAATTTCTAAGTAGAAAAATAATTTTCTGAAAGACTGTCCTGGTTATATTGGCCATTTTGAGAACACGTCCCTGTCCACAGCTAGACAAAAAGATCAGCTCTCAGATGTATGAGAGCTGATAGGTACACAACATACCCAAGCTTTCTCAAGAAACAGACTGTTTTGCATACACACTATCAAACTACTGTAAAACAATAAATTTCATGCATGAGGTTCAGCTGAAAATACTAAGCAACTGTACTTGTATTACACGAGCTATTCTGAGGATGGATTTTCCTATTTTCAGCAGATTGAAAAATAATTAGACCCTGGCACACATGAAACAAACCACCTTGCACTGAACAAAAAAAAAGGAAAGCAGAAAGGTTCCCAGTTTAGTTACTCCCCCTCTCCCCACTCATATTACTCACAAGTAATAAATTCATGGTACTGAGTCTGCATAGTTCCTGATTAATACTGGGAGTGTTTGTGTGAAGCAGAGCAGCTATTAGACGAGATCCATGAAGACGAGCATTCCCCAGTGGCTCCTCCAAGACACCAATTGTAGTTAGGATTGCTGTTTTCTATCAAAGAAGGAGAGAGTGAGCATCTCAACGAAGACCAGCATTGCCTTGGGTGTACACGCGCCATGATTTGACTACACATAACTAGTTCTCTTCATAATATTCTCTGCAGGTAAACCTAAACCATCTGCCCATGCAGAGGTCAGTGTCGTGTGGCCACTGTGAGACTTGTACTTCCAAACCTGAAGATTAAACTCAAAATATCCACTAACTACAAGTTCCTTTCTCTTCACCCCTCACCATCTCTCCACAAGCCACGGTCCCAACGTATCCCTACCTCTTGGTTTTACTCAGATACAATGGCTTTCAAAATTCCCAGTGCCTAGTCCCTCAGCACCTGAATTATAAGCTCTAAGCATGAGTTTTTCTTCCAAAGACGTTTGCCTGTTCCTGCATACGGCACTTTCAGAAAATACCCAGGAAGCCTGTGTAAGGAAAGGGAAACCCTGAAACGCGGGTCAGGAGCGCTTTGGTTGCTCCTGAGGAAGGCTGCGATGCTCTACCTTGGGAGGGCTGAGCAGCAGCTGGTGGAAGTCCTTTAGCCTCGGTTCAATGCCATGCAAGATGCTGCTATTGACAGTGTAAGACCTTTCAAATCCCTGAGTGTATGAGTCCATCAGTCCTTCCACTCTGTGAAGAAGAAAAAAACAACAGTTAAGATTTAACAAAACCTTAAAATGGTCTCCAGTCACGCTGTCCATGTTGGTCATTTTCTCTTGAAAAATAACTATAAATATGAAAAACAACCATTTCCAGCTACTGACTGTATTTACATAACTACACTACATTAATACGTCATTTACAAGATGATAGTCACATAACCAAAACTGGGAATGAGAAGAGCGGGAAGACAGAGAACAAGCTGTCTGTGGAGCTGACAAATTACTGAAGTGCTTCCTGGTTTTTAGAACTTCCCAAACATTGGAAAAGTAAATTAGAACTATAAACATTTGTTAAAACTGTACACCTTCCCCAAGTGTTCAAAAGATGCACAGAAGTACACCGACTGATGAAAGCCTTGAGCAGACTCAGAATCGCACCTCTGTCCGGGTAAGCAGTAAATCACAACTATGACTAGCCCCTTCCAACAGCAGAGTCTCGCACTGCAATAAAATAAACGCTTTCATGTCAGTAATGAAACGTTACCTCTGGCCAGGTGGGAAGGGGCTGGGGAGGAACCCCTACACCTCCAACTCAGAACTCGTCAGAGATCCTGGGCACTCTGCTCTCCTCTCCAGTACCTCTTCCTAACCTTCTATTATCTCCCTCACTCTTCCTTATTTTCTCCTCTTTTAGATTTTCAGTGTCTCCTTCCCTCCCCAGAACTCTCTTTCGCCTTTTCTCCCCTCTATCTCCACAAAAAGAAATAAAAGGCAGACATAAGTTAAAAAACCAAAATGAAAACTATATAGCCATCATCACACAGATTACGCACGATGCCCCGTTTCCTCCCCCCCGCACACATTCTGCTGTACGATCTCTGATACCCCCGACAAGCCTTTGCTTAGACGTGTGCAAGAGAACTAGAGGAGCCCACAGCAGGGCCCCGATGCCAACTGGTACCACTGCCGTGAGGTGCAGCGACTGCATCAAACCAACCAGACAGCTTTTCTTGTGCTCCGTTCTAGGCAGCACTTCACACTCGGCCAAAAAATTGCCTTTTTTGCCCAAGTAAAACTAGATGGGAGTTCCTAAAATTGTTCTTGCTAGGGAAGCAAGTGCTAACTTACCCAGAGCGCCTTGTTTCCAGCAACGTTAGAAGAACTTGTGTTCCATTCACTATGCAATTTTCAGTCTGCTCTCCGTCAAACATATTCTTCAGGAGCTGCTCCACACATTCCTGCCTGTTGATCAACACACACAGAGTAGCGGTATAAGAACTAGAAGTATCGGCAGTTGCTTTAATCGCAAAATATCTACTTCTGGGTTTTCTGGGGAAAAAAAAAGACTGCTTTTTTTCTTTTTTTTCTTTTTTCTTTTTTTGAGAAAGAATAAAGACATTCCTCTCTAAAGTCTCATACGACAAGAACGGTTCTACACCAGGTTTCTGAACTAAGGCAAGACTTGCTTATAAACACCCAGACTCCAACCCAAAATCCCGTTCTCCTTTATCAACAGCATATACCTCTTATAAACTGGAAGACAACCCAACTGTTAACTCAATTTAATTTATTAAAAACAATATGAAGCTATTAGCTCATATAAAATTATCTGCCAGAATCACAGAAGACAGACAACAGACAGTGGAAGTTGACCCTTCTTATTTGCTGCTAGCATGGCAAGATCCTGGAAAGAGAGGCCAACAAATGCAAACTGTAAATAATATGCACATTTTTAGGAGTCTTAGCTATTAGCCTCTTGAAATATTTTGATCAAATCACCATCTCTTTGAGCCCTTAAAGCAAGGTAAGATGCCTCCCGATTACTGACAGATTTGGGGCCAGGTGGAGGGACCACCGAGTGCTGAAGACTGCTGGAGTCTGAACAAATGACGACATCGGTCCTTTCTGCCACTAAAAATTATTTGGACACTCAAACATGACCTTAGAACTGAAGAATAATTAGCACAAAGGTAACAGCCCACACGCTAAATGAGTAACAGATAAGAGGAATCCGAGGTTCGGGCTGGCACCGTCACTCATCTGCAGTTACCTGACTGCAGCATCTGTGCTCAGATGCTTTCCCAGGCTGATTCTGTGGATGTTGATGACAGTTCTCCAAAATCCAGCACTCAGCAAGTGCCTTTCTCGACTTGCTAAGTCACGTGTCCAGCTAAAAACAGTATTACTCAAGTTCACAGTCTCATTTTTACTATTTTCTAACATTTGAAAAAATCTCATTTACATCTGTATAAATAAAATATGAGATAAAAATGTAAAAATACATGAATAATGCATGAGAGACAATTATTTTAATAAGTAGCCTCTAAATACACTCCATCAGCACAAGCACAAGAGGCAGTCAGGAAAAAGAAGTAACAGTTTACCATGATTAACTGAATTCACTTCTATTGCATACAGCCACATTTGTATTTTTCTATGTCTAGAAAAATCTAGATTTGGTATTTATTCCATAACCCTGAGCAGGGCTCCTTCTTGCTGCACTAGCTAATCATTAATTCATCATTCATAGATGAAAAAAAAGTTATCCAAAGCTCAAAAAAGGTTACCAGGAAACTGACCAAGAAAAGAAATGAGATGTGACCTTTGGCAGAAAGGTAAGTCGTGCAAAAAAATCACTTTTGTTCAAAATATTTTTTCTTCTGAATAGTGAAGTGGTATAATGACTTTTAGAAATGCTTTTTGAAAGTGCAACCCCATTTTTATTTATCTCACGGAAGTTACAGGGAGTACCTGAACACGAGCAAAGCTCATCGGCAGAGAACACCAGGGAGGTGAGGGAGAGCGAAGGGAGAGGGGGAAGAAGCCAACGACCGTCGGAGCACAGTCCAAGCCAAACTTCAAACCACAGCCTTGTACAACTCCTTGTGTAATCAAGGAAACTCGCTTAAATTATACCACTGGTGTCCCTGAGGCTCTCACGAAAGACCACGGGCAGCAATCTTTTGCCCCACACACAGCAGGATTCCACATCCCACTCCAAAACTACCAAGAAAGTCTAAAATTAACCCAAAAGCCTGAAAGTACCGCATGGCCCATGGCCCACCACACTTCCCACCATGGTGGACCACAACCCTGGTTAAAGCTCCTAAGCTTTCCATGTGAAACGACCAAGCTGGAGGGTCATCTCCAAACTTTCTAAGGTTCAAAACCAAGACAGATTTGGCGAGATGCCGAAGGCTCCATAACTAGGGGTGCAATCTGCTCTGAAAATCCAACATCATGCTTGTCGGTAAGAAAATAAGCTCACAATCAGGAGAAAATAACAGCAACATCACAGAAACTAAGAAAGCTCTGGGTTGGCAAAACCATGCAAAAGAGGAATTTTAAGCCCTAGTTACAGATGCTATATTCATTGCAAATCTCTCATTTCATCCTTTGTCTGTCAAAATGGCTCCTTCAGGCCTAAACCTAACCTTTTTTGGTTTTAATCTCATGTTGAATCTTCAGTAAATGTTTTTAGATTTGAAGCAAAAGTAGGAAGTGGTAAACATGCTAACATGAGTAATTTAAAACTACATTACAACGAGCAAAGAAACAAAGCCAAGGGAACCTGAAAAATCAACATTTTCTGGTACACAACTCATACTTAACATTATTTGGGAAATAACTCCTGATAAAAATACTCTTTGAATGTGCAAGTTTCTCATCAATTTGTTCCCTCAGTAACATTAGAGAAATTAGCTCTGGATTTTAAAAAAACAAAACAACTTCAAATTAAAAAAAATTCTTCCAATTTTCACTCAAGTTGTCCGGACATACAATCGCAGGTTCTGAAGAGAAGTGCTGAGCACCGCTAGCGGGACCACAGCGTCCTTCGTCCTTATTTCAAGAGAACACTTTCTGTCAAATGTAACTTAAAAGCCCTGAAAGACTACAACAGCTTCTTTTGTCGACTGCACACTAGTATCATTTTATTACTCGATTACACCTTTAGGACAACCCAACACACTCCAACAGTTTCCAAATTCACTAGATTCCGCTCCCCACAATTACGTCAGTGGCAGACCACCTTCCCATAAGTTATACAAGATCATGTGCAAACACGAACCAAAACAGCTTCTCTACTTTTTCCAGCCAAGCTACCAGGCCTAACAAAAGACTATAATACCTCTATTTACAAATCTTCTCTGCAAAGTTTATCAATCGGAAGGTAGAAAATGATTAAAGCAATTCTGTATCTGCGCTGTGACATGTCATCTCTAATTAAAGCACTGGACGATGTTTCTGAGGCATGAAGAGAGCTCATGGTGGTCGCAGGTGACAGGGCTTTGAGGAAGAAGTGGCTGACACTACCTCTAGTGTAGTAAGGGATCCGTGGGGATGGCGTACAGACGGAGGAGACCTGAATTCTCAGCACCGAGCCACAGATCCACTGAATACCTTTCTGAATGATGAGGGAGGGCTAGGGAGGCATTTAAAGCATGCAGGCTTACTTCTTCAGGTTCAACCACACGTGGAGAATAAAACCAGGGGGAGTAATGATTCAGTCAAAGTAAGAGGCAGGCAGAGACTCCTTGGTGAGATGTATCGGGCCGTATTCCTGCACCACCTTGTCTCTAAGTGCACACAACCCAAGGTTCACTCAAGTCTTCGACTGGTATTTGACTCAGGAGCCAAGAAAGCTGGAGAGAGGCTGGTGACAAGGGCAGGGAGTGACAGGCCAAGGGGAATGGCCTGAAGCTGAAGGAGGGGAGATGGAGATGGGATGGGAGGCAGAAATCCTTCCCTGTGAGGGTGCTGAGGCCCTGGCACAGGGTGCCCAGAGAAGCTGTGGCTGCCCCTGGCTCCCTGGCAGTGTTCAAGGCCAGGTTGGATGGGGCTTTGGGCAACCTGGGCTAGTGGAGGGTGTCCCTGCCCATGGCAGGGGTGGCACTGGATGGGCTGTGGGGTCCCTGCCCACCCAAACCACTCTGGGATTCTATGGTGAGAAACTCCTTCTGTTCTCACAGCATTTTCTTCCCCGTTTTGATGAAGAGCAATTTGATGACCTGAAATCCATCTATATGGTACAACATGTTTACCATCGGGGAATAACAGCCACTGTTTGGCCAAGTATGAGTGATGTCTTGCACCTGAAGTCACACTTGGCATCACGGAACACTGTTAATATAGGAATTTTAAGATTTGTCTTTACGGCATTTCCCTCAACTCTTGCCATTGCAGTTCACCTTCCTCCAAACTCACTATGAGCATGTTAACACACAACTAGTATTGCCTTGTCTTGAATACAGTTGTGAGCTTTGGGGATCACTAACCCCGATCTCCTGCCTTCAGACAGAGCGACAAAACCCAGAAATCTCAACAGAGGCAGAGAAGTGATGCTACAATTTAAAAGCAGTATTAAATGGTCAGCACAAATGCCAAGAGTTAAGTAAAGGCTTCAGACTACTTACTGCATTGTTTGTGTCTCTGGAGAGCTCTCAGTGACAGTATTAGTAGCAATTAGTTTAGCAACGGTCCTCTGACAAGTACTTACGATTCCAGTGCTGTGAGAAGTGGATCAGGCTCAGGTATATCCTGGAGTTGATTGCTCTGGTCTCTGCTCAATCTTATGATATCACACAGGGTCTGGGAAGCATTTGATTGCCTCTGTGAACAACGACATAGAGCACAGTTCAGTGCTAGCGTCTCAACTTGGCTCATTCTGGCTGCCACAGAGAAAACTTAATACAGCTGGGGATGCAAGGAACTGAATAAATCAGAATTTTTCAGAACACGTGCTACCAGGCTCTAGAGTATTCATCTGTTAAATATAACACTGATGTGAATTAGTCAAAGCATTAACAGATTTTAAAATCAAAGAGGAGGGCTTCCTGAACTTAACAATTAAAAGCAGTTAAAGATTTCAGAAAGCGAGGATTCTTTCTTTATCTTCCTGACCAAGTGCGTTAATTTGCAAATTTCAAATACAAGTATTTCATTCTTAGTTCTCACTACTCGGGAGGTTTCCCGCATGAAGGAAAATAAATGGCTTGATAAAACCTTTACAATTTAATTAGTATGTTCTAAAAGGCTTTAAAGTAGTATTTTGATAAATTAATCATCTCATTCTGGCTATCAATCAAAGAGGCTCTGTAGCTACTGTATGTATGAGATCTTGGGCTGTCATTGAGCATTCAGCCATAAGACAGCACTGCTGAGGGCACATGAATCAGCACATAACTTCCCATTTTTTCTCTCAGAAGGGGCAATTTTTGCTGCGCTGAGATGAGGGAACCATATCGTCGGCATTAACACTACACCCAGAGAATCCTGTGCCATCCCGCTCACTTTGCTGCTGGCACTCACAGGAACCTGTGCCCCCAGCCCCACCTAAGTCAGAGCTAGAGATCAACGCGCTTCCTTCTCTTTTTCCTGCTTGACACCAGGGATGGCAGTCAACGCCCAAACGTGAAATAACAGTGTAGGAAACCGAAATCCAGACCTAGAGCTCCTGGCTCAGATGCTTTGTAAAAATTATTGAAAGGAAAAAAAGGGGGGAAAAAAAAAAGAGCACTCGTATGATTTAATACTCAGCACGTCTTTCTCATGGGCTCACAGAACTGCATCTTGTAGATGTTCTAAGAGAATACCTACTTACTTATGGCCTAAAAAGAATTGAAAGTTATCACAAACTGTTTAATTTTAAAAGTGTTTCAACAGCCTGTTTCAAATAGCAGGTTCCTACTTAAACCAAGTAAGTTACCGCTGACTGTAGCTACTGAGGTGAACTGATGCAGCAGCAGAATGAACTAAGAAACTGGCAGCAAATTGGTAGATTAAAAATATAAGAAAATGTTTTGGTATTGAGCTTGGCAACCAGCGGAGAGGATATCCATCCATGCAGCTCATCTCCTTCCATAAATCACCTGGGCATTACCAAAGAGACAGAGAGATTCTTCTGGACCTACAGGACCCGCTACCCACAAAGACGAAAGTTAGTCTTGTCATACTCACGTCCTCATCCTGGCTTGAATGGATCAGTTCCACAAGTCTCTGAATAATCTTTGCTTCATTAAGCCACTGGAGGGAAAGGAAGGGGAAAAGAAAATCCTTGTTTGATGTCACAGAATTCAAAACAAGAGGATCTACAAGAAGCTTTGCGTAACACAGGCCCTTCAGGAAGGGAAAGCCCTTTCCCTCTATTTTAAAATCAAAGCCACGGGCCATACACAAACTCCCCTAGGCACAGAGAGAGATATATTTTCATTTGCATCAGCAGGTACACCCTGCCCAGGGAACTACAAACCTAAATACCTCTGGAAAACAGATCTCATCTGAAGCAGCACTAGCATAATCATCAACACGTTGTTCTCCTACCATTTCATATTCTTACTGACTTAACTACTGTTTACACGAAATAATTTCTCAGACTTCGAGATGACGTAACAATGCTGTTATTGCACCTCATCTCCTTGCTCTACACCAACTTCAGACCACTTCCTTTTCTCAGAGAAGCTATCACCTTACCTCCCTTTCCTGACCTCATGCAAACCAAGTACGTCATCTGCAAATGATACCTTCCAGTTTCTTCCTTCCCAGCTTCATCTGCAAGCTCAACGTCTCATCTCCACCCAACCGTTTTCACTCACATTTCTACAGCCTTCGTTCCAGGCAAACTGCTGGATGTCCAACATCAACCAAACTATTCCGTCAAATCAGTCAAACTAATGCATTCTCAGTGGCTTTTGAAATGACCGACCAAACATTAATTAAAAGGAAAAAGACTCTGGAGGTTTCTGCAATGATCTAATCTTCCATCACTCTTTGGATGAGTCATGGAGAAAATGAACAGCCTCCTGCCTTCCACTTCTTTGTAAGAAGGCTCTATGCACATCTCCTCCGCTTGAACGCTCATTTTTATGTTATCTGTTCACATGACTTCAGCTATAATCCTCACGTTGACTCTTT